ACCCCACGAAGTTCCATCTCTTCTCCAAATCTCTCCCACCATAGCCACCATCCCTAAGATATGTTTTCATGTTTAAAATAGGCTTAAGGTTGCAAACTTGCAGTTTAGCCATAATTCTTAGGATTGAAGAACCTTAATTAATCTAATTTTAGAAAGGTAGTGGTTTGGTTCCTAGCGGCGAAATCTCCGGCTAAAGAAGTGGCGAAATCTCCGGCTAAAGAAGAAATGACTAAATTTTCTTCTTCTTCTTCTTCTTCATGCCACAAGTTTGCACCATTTCAACAACAATTAACCAACAAGCAGCAGTCAAAGAATTTGGAATAGGTACACTCTGAATGATGTGTAGGTGCTTAATAGGTACAAGCCTCAGTTAAGGCGTCTAAATGGAATTTGGTGACAACTTTAAGGGGTTGTCTATGTATTTGGGTTTTTATGTGTATAATGTATCTAACTATCTATACATTGTCAAATAGGAAAATCGCTAGATGGTTGATATCATCTCTTACTAAGACAAAGCTGAGTGTTATCAGAATATAAGTGGGAGCATAATTGAAAGTAAAGCGAGGAGGCTCTTTCTGAACTTCTCTAAAGTGCCTTAAGGCTTTCAGCCTAAATATGTTTTATTGTTTGTTGAGGCTCCACCATTTGTTTTTCTAAAAGATTTTTCTTCCGATAACTAGTAAATTTTTTGTTAGAAAGGTTTGCTAAGCCGTAAATAGTAGGTATTAATCAAAGGACTTTAGGAGCAAGCATCCTCTATTAAGTGCATGCAATTATCTATACAAATAAGAATCCCTTGTATTCTTCAGTTGGAGGCTTTAGAAACTTCTCTCGTTGTCCATAAAAAGAGCATTAACTTCCCTATAATACAGTATTGCATTGCTTCCCAGTTGTTCAGAGTGATTATTGTTAGCTTTGAATCAGTTATACCTGCAGCTAGCATTCATCTAATTAGCTTTGCTCTAGGGTTGGAAAACATTCTTTGAGGAGCCTGTTATGTTGATTGCTTTCGTCTTGCTGGGAAGAAATCTTGAGCAGAGAGCTAAAATTAAAGCCACAAGCGACATGACAGGCCTTCTCAATGTCTTGCCATCTAAAGCAAGACTTGTAGTCAGTAGCGATTCAGGGGAATCAAGCTCCACTGTTGAAGTTCCTTCTAACAGTCTGTCTGTCGGGGATCAGATCATTGTTTTACCTGGGGTAAGTAAAGATGTGCTTGTCTTCACGTTACATTGTACCTCATTAGGTCTCCCTTGATCTGTTTTCAGCGGTATTGGGACAGTTCTTACTTGAATCGCTGAGTTGTCGATCTCCCTCCTGTTATCTACTAGCTTAAAAATGAATCATATTATTTGATCAGTAGAGATATTCTGATTAGAAATAGCAAGCAATAGCAGTTGAATTTACTGATACCTGTTTGTTGAAATTCAGGACCGTGTTCCAGCTGATGGAATTGTCAGAGCTGGTAGAAGCACAATTGATGAATCAAGTTTTACTGGGGAGCCTTTACCTGTAACGAAGTTACCTGGGGTAGTCAACCTATCTTCTCATATCGATAACTACTTTTTTCTTTTAAAATATTGCTCTATGGATGGACAGATATCCAATTTAAACACCATCTTCAATTCCTATAATATCATGATAGATATATTCTTATGAATTAGGCTGAAGTTGCGGCAGGAAGTATAAACCTTAACGGAACACTTACTGTTGAAGTGCGACGACCAGGTGGTGAGACTGCAATTGGGGATATTGTTCGATTAGTAGAAGAAGCACAGAGTAGAGAAGCTCCTGTACAGCGGTTGGCTGACAAGGTTTCCATTTTAAAGCTGTTTTTTCTTATGTACACAATATTTGGCTGTTGGTGGGTTACGTGGTTCACCCAAATGACTGTCTAATATTGTTTGCAAAAGGAATTTTATTTGTAGGCTTGTCCTGAAAAAAGCTTAATTGCTTCTATTAACTAGGTTGCTGGGCATTTTACCTATGGGGTAATGACACTTTCTACGGCCACATTTATGTTCTGGAACCTTTTTGGTGCTCGCATTCTACCATCCACCCTTTATCATGGAAGTGTAGTTTCGCTAGCGTTGCAGCTCTCATGTACTGTGCTGGTACGTTAATGTATAAACTCATATTAACTGAGTTGACTTTCAGTAATCACCAACAAGGTTCAAATCTGACTACTTCTGCAGCATCCCACAAGATAATTTTTCAAATCTGATTGAGTAATCCTTTATAAAATCTTTTGATTCACTACTGCTGTTTCTGTATTGGTTTTAGTTTCATTGTCTTTTTCTGCATCATGTAAGCATGCTTCTGCCCCATGGTTATATTTCTATCTCTTTGTTTTGCCGTAATTGACTTCGGGTTTGTTGTTGTAGGTTATTGCCTGTCCATGTGCACTTGGTCTTGCCACTCCTACTGCAGTGATGGTAAAGACATACATATCCTGTAGTACTGTCATACTAAATCCAGGCATGATCCTAACAGCTGATGCACTACTAATGATGAGACATTTTTGTGTAAAGGTTGGAACCTCACTTGGTGCCACTAAAGGCTTGCTTTTGCGTGGTGGAAGTGTCCTAGAAAGATTCTCAACGGTGAATACAGTTGTTTTTGACAAGACAGGGACACTGACTATTGGTAGACCAACTGTGACCAAAGTGGTGTCTCAAGGTCAAGGCTATCAAGAAGATCCAGATGCAAGGTTGAGTGCAAACTTTAAGTGTATTTATACTACCTCTCTCATGCCTTTATTAGGCGTTTCAAAATGCAATCCACTTTCTTTAGAAGGAACTTCTGATCGTCATCAATATAAAGTTTTGATACATAAGAGTATGAAAATGATTGTTTAATAAGCAAAAATGGGTTTCATATAATTTTTGAATTATATCAACAAATTTTTTTGTTGAGAAACTCCTAAAATACAATTTTTTCTTTTCTATTCTTAAAACACACAAACCCCGCTTGTTTTCTAATAAATACTAAGCAATCCGTACTTTAACTCTTTCACTTCATAGACATCTCGTGCAAACTAAGACTATTATATTAGGATGAAATGAGTAAACTTTTGTGAGCTTCTATAATTCCATCTTTGCGTTCTTCATGTCATGTAGATTTGACTATTCTCTGATAAAAGTATTTTCTGTCACTCAAGGCACTTTAAAACTCTTAATATACGACATTACTGGGAAATGAAGAGTGATTGAAATATGGAAAACTGAATGATGCAAGTTTTATTTATCATTCAGGAAGACTTCTGTTAGTTTTATTTGCATTGCAGGTCAATCACAGGCATATTAGGTATCCAATTTTTGGGCCATAACAAATAAGGAAATTGCTTTTTCTTTATAGCATTTTCTTTTAACAGAAAAAGGCCAAAACAACCCTCAAACTATTCGATTTCGTACAAATATGTCCTCGGTCCAGCTATTGAGCCAAAAATGCCCCCATCGTTATTTTTTTGGCTCAGTTATGCCCTTATCTAAAAAAAATTTAATTAATATCCACGTGTCAACTTCCTATTGGCTGAACTTAAACTCCACTCCAAATAGAATTAAACCCACTCGTATGTGAAGATCCGTAAGTGGATAGAGGATATTATTGTACCAAATCCAATAGTTTAGGGACTGTTTTGGCCCCTTTTTTTTTATCTATCTTCTTCATTTTACATTTACCATTGGAGCCGCCATTTTTTCGGAAATGTTCATCAAAAGACCTTAATTTGCACACTCAAATGTCACTTACAGTGGTAAATCTCATTTTCTTTCTCATCATCGTAAGATAATCTAAGAACCTTTTATGAATTCTTGGACTTCAAATTTGCGAATAGTCTAATTTTTCTCCTCAGAATTTTTGTGATTTTTGTAAAATCCTAGTAAGATGTTAGACCCAGAAGGTAATTTATTGTAGAAATTGGAACTTTTATGGCTTCATCCTTGAACAAAATCCCATTTTCACAACGAAAAAGGACATTAAATCGGAAAAAATTAAAGATTTTCAAATCGGACCCTTTCGATTAGCATAGCATTCTTGTTGTTATTGTTTGAAAATGGAGGAATGGAGCAAACATGCTAGTCACGGTGTCAGCGTGATTCCTACAGAGGAAAGGGGGTGGTGGCGGCCGTGGTAGTGGTAGGGTTGGGAAGATTGAGAAATTAATTTTATTGGGGTCATGGTTTAAAGTTGGACCAGTAAGAAGTTTTCACGTGTAATTTAAATAACCTTTTTTTTTATTTGGCGTTGACGGTTAGTCATAGGGGCATAAGTGAGCCTGAAAGACAACGGGGGAAGCATTTTTGGCTCAATAGGTGAACGGGGACATATTTATACCAAATCGAATAGACTGAGGGCAGTTTTGGCCCTTTTCCGAACCTTTAATAACATATTATTTTCATCAATAAACACTTGTTAATAGATTGACTTTGTTTGAAGAATACACCATCTACTGGATAAATTCTTATCTCTCTCTTACCTTCTTTTTGACTTAATACTAAACGAACATCCACAAGAAAAGCATCCAATGTTTGTATTTCCTATTTGTTCTCTCTTAATAAAATGGAGATGGGGTCCTATCAACCCCAAAAACTAGCTCATAAGGTGAGGATTGCCCAAGACCATATATGGAGGCAATAGTCCATTCCTCCAACTAATGTGGTTCAACATCTTTCTGCACTCTCAGATATCTCGTGTGGACGACATAACGTAGATGAATATTCGGTAAACCAAGAATTAGGATGAGTCTTGGTTGTGATACCATGTTAAGAAAATATTGTGTCTAACTCAACCAAAAGTTAGCACATAAGGTGAGCATTGCCAAGATCATGGAAAGAGACAACAACCCATTCCCTCAAGCAATATGAAACACTTAACATTTGTTCCTCATATACTTGTTTCGTACTGTTTGAATGATGAATTTACCAGAAAGAGGAAAACCATGAACATTTCTGCATGATGGAATAAGAGCAACCAATAAGCACTTAACGTCCTTTATACTCATTGCTAACTCATCTCTTGTTCTAGTTGTTCACTTCTTTTTCTCTGTCCTTTCCTTTTCTAAATAACCTTCTTATTGCTGCTCTCATCTGTTGCTTTGAGAGTTTCCATGTTGCACTTTAGTTGCGAATCTTTGGATTTTATTTCTTTGATCAGAAAGTTGAACTATGAAAATGTGTAAAGTTAAAGTTGACTTCAGACACCTTCTGGTAAAAGAAAAGGTGTTAACGATATTTCTTCATTGGAGATAATGAGCCAAGTTTTGGTGCAGACAAGATTCAACTTCACCTTGTCAGTGGTCAGAAGTTGATATTCTGAAGTTTGCCGCTGGAGTTGAATCAAATACCAATCATCCAATTGGAAAAGCAATTGTAGAGGCTGCTCGGACTGCGAATTCTCCAAAATTGAAGGTAATTCATGCTAAGTGCTCCTTTTAAAGTGTTTACCTATTTCTATATAGGAAGAGTATCCAAATTATGCACATGCCCTTTGTATTCGAAAATCTCAGCCCTTTGAATTGCATGATATATTAACAGTATTTGTCCATGTTATCTTTTTCTTACGCGCTCGCGCACACACACATATATCGGCAATGCAATGATAATTTGGTTTTACAGATATTAGTAAATTATCATCTGCACTATGCCTCAAACTTGTATAGTTCTCCAAGTTGAGATTTTTGAAATTTCAGCTTCCTTATTAGGATAGTAAATAGAATTCAAAATACCTTCTTTTTTTGTCAACGAGGTTTCAGTTTGCCCCTTGACACGTCTTCTTCGAGTCTGTTGAATTGTGTGAACATCATCTAAGCTTAAGTTGTTAGAGATAAACACTTTTATTTATTTATTTATTTATGGTTGCTGTGAGAATGCACGGGAGAAAATATGATTGACATTATTCTCATATATTAAACATGATACAATGAGCCCTATATATATACATAACATGTCCTACCCTAATACATATGGGATTAGGGTTACATAACTATTCTAACACTCCCCTCAAGCTGGTGCATATAAATCATATGTACCGAGCTTGTTACATATGTAGTTAATACGAGGACCAGTGAGAGACTTGGTGAAAATATCTGCAAGCTGATCATTCGACTTCACAAACTTTGTAGCAATATCTCCCGAGAGTATCTTTTCTCTGACAAAGTGACAGTCAATCTCAATGTGTTTAGTTTTCTCATGAAACACTGGATTTGACGCAATATGAAGAGCAGCTTGATTATCACACACAAGTCTCATCTGACTAATCTCACCAAATTTCAACTCCTTGAGAAACTGTTTGATCCAAATTAGCTCACATGTCGCCATAGCCATTGCTCGATATTCTGCTTCTGCACTAGACCGAGCAACTACATTCTGTTTCTTGCTCTTCCAAGATACCAAATTTCCTCCTACTAAGACACAATATCCAGAAGTAGAACGTCTATCAGAAGGTGATCCTGCCCAATCAGCATCTGAGTATCCAACGATCTGCTCATGGCCTCGATCCTCAAACAATAAACCTTTACCTGGAGCTGATTTTATATACCGAAGAATGCGAACAACTGCATCCCAATGACTATCACACGGAGAATCCATAAACTGACTCACAACACTCACAGGAAAGGAAATGTCAGGTCTTGTCACTGTAAGGTAATTTAATTTACCAACCAACCGCCTATATCTTGCAGGATCGCTAAGAGGCTCTCCCTGTCCTGGCAGAAGTTTAGAATTCGGATCCATCGGAGTGTCAACAGGTCTACAACCTGTCATTCCTGTCTCCTCAAGAATATCTAAGGCCTACTTTCGTTGTGAGATCACAATACCTGAGCTAGACTGAGCGGCCTCAATACCCAGAAAATACTTTAGTTTGCCCAGATCCTTAGTCTGAAAGTGTTGAAAGAGATGTTGCTTCAATTTAGTAATACCATCCTGGTCATTTCTGGTAATAACAATGTCGTCAACATAGACCACCAGATAAATACAGAGACTCGAAGTAGAATGCCGATAGAATACATAGTGATCAGCTTCACTCCGAATCATGCCAAATTCCTGGATAACTGTGCTGAACTTACCAAACCAGGCTCGAGGAGACTGCTTTAGACCATAAAGTGACCGGCGCAAGCGACATACAAGGTCACGAGACTCCCCCTGAGCAACAAACCCAGGCGGTTGCTCCATATAAACTTCATCCTCAAG